ACCCTGCCGTGTTTCTCGTTTTGCCTATCGCTCGCAGCAGCGCGAATTCTGTCGAATTTCGGTTAATGAATTATATGCATATACGTTGCAAATTTTATAGGCGTCCGCGTATATATATTCGGTCGTCGAGGGAAATTGTTGTAACGCGCGCGTTATACGATGGGCCCGGAGGTGCGCGCGAGGAGCGGGCGTGTGCTCGGGGATGGCGCGCGAACGCGACGGTGCCGCAGTAAATTCCCGCCGTTTTTTGACTTTGATCGGCCAATCGTGGCCCGGCAACGAGATCTCGCTGCGAAACGAGAAATCAATATGGTATGCAAATGCTGTGCGGAAGCGGTGGTATCGTTTGGGAAAACAGCACCGAGGATCGAGAGGGGAATTCGAAAGGAATTTCAGCATCGGGCATGCCGATTTTTCGATCGCGAGAAATTGGTATGCCAACGCGGCGAAGCACCGATTATAAATGAGGAATTTGCTCTTCTTTGGAATTTTCGAATACGGAGGGGGTTGTTGCATTCGATCGACGCGACAGGACGATTTTTCTCGTTCGAAACTACCCTCGGCGGAAATCGAGGACGGCAGGCGATAGATGCGCGTACGTCGACGTTAACTCGAGTACCGGTCGCAACAACGTGGAACGGGGAACTCGGTACGTGGGAAGGGTGATTATTAATGTAAGGGGTTGCCGAGCAGTAGTTACTCGTCGAAAAGAACGAAGGGGGGAGCGCTACACCGAAATCAATGTCGGCCCTTTTTTCCTCGTTAGCGATCAAGGAACGCTCGCGAATTTATTTTTACCCGGGCCGGCCAGGGAAATTAGTTTCCGGCGATGATTTCAAAGGAATGTTTTCTTAAGAATCGATTCCGTTATCCTCTCGCGAACGGACTATCGCCGTTTTCGATTAAATAGCTGGAATACCGACGAGGTTTTGTTTTTCTTTTCTCGTTTTTTTTTTTTCTTTCCTTTTCATTCGCGATCTTGGACGAGACGAGACTTTTCCAAGGGTCCAGTCATACGCGGCGCTGACCGTTCGCTTCTCGAGGCTAATACCTTCCGATTGACTACGCTCATCCCTTAATGAAATTCTTTCTACCCGAGCGCGACCCATTGGCTGGCTTTGCGCCGTCGAATTTTCTCATTATTACGGGTCCCTCGTCTGCCTCTCCGCGTTTCTCCGTCACTGCTATTCTTAGGCGACCAGTCGCTCGATAAATTCGATCGTTCGCCCCGCGTAAATTGAACTTATCTCTGCAATACGCGCAACTTGTATGCATACCGTACGGCGTGGCGCGGCGTACGACAACGTGTTCAGTCAACGGTGTCTTGGAAACTACGGTGTGTTCTGGCCATGGTACGAGGCGCATTGAGCAATCTCGCAGTATGCATTAAAATTAGCCACAATCGGAACGCACGATCGCTCCTACAGATTATAATAGTATATTAATTTATTGATTATCGACTGGTCGCGATGCAATGCGGTATTCATAGAATTTACTATCGGACTCCCGGCTATACCGAACGCGTGCATTAAGCTCGCTGACTCGTCGATTTCGCCGCGCGATCGAAAAATTGTATCGACAAACTGGTTTTCTCTCGTCGAACATTAACGTCCGGTGGGAGGAGGAATTTCTCGTAAAGAACAGAAAGTATAAATGTTGACCGAAACAAACACTCGATACGGAAAAAGAAAGAAAAAAAAAATGAAAAAAATAATAAACGCTTATCGAAGTTCAGGGACGCGATCGATCGTAAGTAATTCCTGGAGAAAAATCCTGCCGTGCCTCTCGAGAACGGAATCATCGAGGTCCAGCAGGATTTCGAGCAGGATTTCCAGCATGATTTCGAACAGGCATAGAGGGTAGGAGAGATACTCACCCGTATGCAAGCGGGTATGTTGCTGTACATGACTGAGCTGCTTGAACCTGCGGTCGCAATAGCTGCATTTGTACGGTTTCTCGCCGGTGTGGACCCTGATGTGCTGCACGAGCTGGTGGTTGCTGGAGAATGACTTGAGGCATTGCTGGCACTGGTGTGGCTTTACCTCGTTGCCGGCGATCATACCGCCCGGTCCGACGCCGATCGGAGCCAGGGCTGCCAATCCGCCCGCCATGCCGCCGCTAGCCCTCGCCGTCAGTGCACCCGCTGCGCCGAGCTCCCTCGCGTGCATCTGCATCGCGCTCTTGTGCATGAAGATCTGCGAGAAGAACTGCCGGAGTTAGTTGGTACACTGCACTTTAGGTTCAAAAACGGAGGATGGCTAATCGACGGGAGCCCTGACCGCCGCGCTTCCGCCGATCGCCATCGCTGCCTGCACTTTCTTAGGATCGGCTGACGCGCTTCTTTCCGAGCCGTTACGAAAAGGACGAATCAGCCTCACCCGTTTCGGTCTTCGTAGACGGTTCGATCCTCCAACGATCCGTACTTACTGATCGGACGCATCGTAGTCGCGGAACTCTACCGATTTACCGGACGGAACGATCGTTTTTGGATCGCAACGATCCTCGAATCTAATAGGAACAGCTGGTCGCGAAAGGGGTCAACGGCCGTCGTCGTGGTTTTCGAAAGCAACCGATCGATGCTTTTCGAATTGCGTATCGCACGATGCGAGGGTACGCGGCTACAACACTATTCCTCGACGCGACGAGCGGGAACGTAAAACTGCTGGAAGGGCCGAGCGGGTGGAACGACCAGGAGGAACGCTTGATTTCGGGTTTTCGTCGAGGGAACAGGTGTTGCTCCCATCGCCGGTGTGGGTGTAGGTGAACGAACGAAAGGGTTAACGTTAAAACGTACAGTACGCGGCAAAAGTCGAGAGATGGAGCGTCCCGAGGACCGAGAGAACTCGTCGGAATTAAAGAAGGGAATGGCCAGCGAGGGAAAGCCGAACTGTCGAGGATTTTATTAAAATATGTTAAAACTGTAATTAAAATCGAAAAATCTCGCGAGAAGTTTTAAGAATCTTAGGCCACCCTCGAGTGCGACGAGGACGAGCCCGAGAAACGCTGGACGAGATCGGAGAAAGAGGCGCGGAGAAAGAGAGAGGATCGAAATTGTCACCGAGGGTTCTCAAGTTTCTACGACTTTCAACCCTTTCTTTCGCGAGCGACGCGGCGCCGGGATATTTGACGGGCGACCTTCGACTCTGGGCATCCCTGATTCTTAATCCCCGTGAGAGAGGGAGAGACTGCGATTTCGTTCCTCGTTTTTTCGCAGAGACGTTTCTTTCGCCCCGGAGACGAATCAATCCGAGGCCTGTTTCGCGTCGATTCGAATAAAATTGCGAGCTCAAGAAATCATCCCCCGGAGATATCACTTGCCACGCGGGGGTCGAAATTTTTACGTCGATCATTTTTTCTCCACCCTTTAAATTTCTTCGAAGGGACACCCGCTTCGGGGATGATTAACCGTAACCGAGGGCCGTCGAGTGTCGCAACAAGAGCGAGGAATTTTTAACGACCGTCTCGAGTGGATATTTTTGCGCAAACTTTGCGCGAAATCATAATCGAATTCGTTTTGAAGCGAATACGTAATTAGGCTCGGTCTCGGTAAGTTACAAAGGTTTTCTCGGTTTTTCTCCGACTCGATGACCACACGTCCATTAATCATATTTTTATCTCCTGGCAGACGGAAAATTGCGTTCCGTCGCCCCGGCCATAGCGCCGGTTTGAATCTTTTTTTCTGATTTATCGTTGTCGTTGCCGTCGTCGTCGGAAAAAAAGGAGAGCAAAAGAAGAGAACGGCTGATTCTGCCAGGAGAAATGAACGGAGGAAGAAGAAAGCGGAAAGAGTCGGTTGCCCACGGGCCGCCGGCTTAATGTCCTTAATAATGGAAAAATATATCAAGCGACACCCAGTGTATTTCCTAAAAGGCATTCCTCAACCCATTTCAGCCTTTGCTCGTTTCTTCCTTGTTCCCGGTCGAAAGTTTCTCGCTAATATTCTGCGATGGATAAATTCGAGCTTGTAGGAGAATTTGGATGATCAGGAAGCTTGTTCTGATCGAAGTAGGATCGAAGTAGCGGCAGGAGTTGGCCCGTTTTTCGGGAGGGATCTCAAGAAGCCTCGCAACCCTTTGTCTCTCCCTTGCCGCAGTAAATTACGATGGAATAACATTGGTCACTGGAAGTAGGCTACTTTATACACTTGGAACACAAAGCAAAGGTCTCACCTGCTGACCATATGCCTTTTCTCCATGGCACACATACGTACGTAACGTGTTCCGTCCACCCACGCACGCCGGCCATCTAGCACTTCGCATGTGCTATTAACTCGAAGGTATGTGTGCCTCTCTGCGTGTACGTACGGTACACGTGTTCGCTCGCGCGCGCACCTATACGTGCCTGCGCGGAGACAACGTCCAATCTAACCTACCTAGCGTTGCCTGACTCATTCTCCTACCTACCCACCTATCTGTCTAAGCTGCGGCCGCGAATAGTGCCGTAATATAAAGGAAAAGGTGAACCATCTCCGCCTCTCTCTTCTCTTTTTCCTTCTTTCTCTCTACCTCGTTCTCTCTCTTTCTCCGTCCTCTGCTTTTTGCCGATCCGTAATCATCTTTAATCGATCAGAATCACGGTGATCCGTTGTCTCGCGTGCTTCGCGCTTCCGGTTGTGGGTCAACCTGTCGATTCTTTTCCTCGATTGATTCGCGCCCTTCGGATCGTCGACCCGCGAGCACCTGACGAAAAGTGGCCCCGTACCGAACGGAATCTTTGTTCGGAGCGCAGATCTCTGCCTGTTAGAAACGCAACGGCGATCGAGAGGCGCGAGAAACCTTGAGGCAACTGTACTTTCGCTGATTTCGTTCTTTCGCGAATGCGCGTAACGTTTTCGAAAGAAAACGAGGTGTACAGTTAGACGAAATTAACGCGGAATCTCGTGGAAGGACTCGAGAGAGTAGCTCGGGAGGTCGCTTCGTCAAAATTGTGGAATTAATATCTGGTGTATGTGATGGATTCCGAAATTCGGTAAGAAACGAGGTGTTGAAAACTTGCATCGAAATAAAATTGCATTGCGGGACGATTAACGGGAGTCAAAACAGCACGTTGTAAACGTACACCGAGAAGTCTGTAATAATAATAATGACGACGATAATCATCGTCGATACTCGTCCGAACGCTATACCGCGTCTATACCCGTGGTTGTACATCGTCTGGCGTCCATCGAGACTCGTGGTGGGAAGCGAACTTGCGCTATAGGCAGTTAAAGTCATCGTCGTAGATTTCCTTTACGATATTAATCACGCGTACGCCTCGCCGTGTAACCGCGAAGTAACGATCTCTAATCCTCGATCAAACGGTGTGCTCGATTAACCCAATAAGAGGGCAACGACGAACGAACGGCTTTACACGCTTTGCCTCGATCACTTTCTACCATCGGTCTCCTTAAACGATCGAGTCTAGCCTTTAATTTCGCAAACAAGATCAAGAGGAGATGAGCGACAGTTGCTCGAGGTTTTTAGATAAAAGGGTCAGAGGTCTCGAGCGACGTGGCAAAGAATAATTGCATCGTTTATTCGAGTTTACGCGGGGCGCGAACTCGAATGTCCTTCGATCGCTAATTGCCAGCGGAACTTTTTCAACGTTTCGAGGCTCGAGGACTCTGTACCGAGTCGTATCTCGAAGGGTTTACTGGGGCATTTTTAAAGAAACGTCGGTGTAGAAGACATCGGGGCTCTCTCGCAGTCGCGAGAATATCGTCAATAATTACCTCGTGCGGCAAGTGGTGGTGAGGATGCTGATACGGCGGCGGTACGTACGGCGGGTGGCTCGGATGGTTGTGGGGGTGAGGTCGGGGATGGTTTTGATGTTGGGCTTGCGGCGGGAGCGGTTGGGGCGCAGGAGGCGGTGTCCAAGGCCCGTGGTTCGGCCCGTGGCTTTCATTGGTGCCATACATCTTCAGGGAAGAATCTCGAGCACGCGACCTGAAGAGTCCCTCCCGCCCTCCACGCACGGTGATACGAAAGTCTCCGATACCGACATGGCTATCCTTATTCCTGATCGCGCCGGCGACACGCTCGATTCCGACCAGTCCTTCCGTCGGACGTTATTCGCATCGTTACCGCGAGTTTCCGCATCGACCACCCCTTCGTCCCTCCTCTTTCTTTTCCTCGAGCGGTATCGATTTATCCTCTCGATCGAGTTCTCCACGGTTTTCGACCGATTTCCCTCAGAGAATCTTTGCGCAACTCGAGGAGAAACTGCTGCGTGAGAATGCGACACTCCGAGCACGTGCACGCGCGAGGGCGTGATTCTTCTTTTGTCCTGTCGTGTGAGAACAGTATCGTTCCACTTTCACGTGCTTACTTTTCGAATTTCGTACTTTCCACTCGCGAGAATCGAAACCGCGAGAATCACGACTCTTTTACAACCCTTTCTCGCGTCGATTCACCGCCGATCGCCATCGTGAACGAAAATCGATTCGCAATATTTCTCCGAGGGATACGAACGAGCGGTCGGCGACGATTCTCTATCGAAGAGAATCCAATACGGTGTCGACGATTTCATTCACGAAAACTGAAACGTGCACACGCGGTGAACTTTGAATATTTTCGAAGGCACTAGACGCGCGAAAGCGTTTCCGTGTTCACTCCGTTATCGCGAAACGCTTATAGATCGCGCGGCGAGAAATCGGTAATTAGATGGAACGAACAGAGTGGGAGGGTGGATCGTCGCGGGCTCGAAGCGGTCGATCGAGAAAGACGCGACAAAGGAACGATCACTGTTCCGACTGAGGGGCTTAGCGTTTTTTTGTTCCTTTTTAAAAGAAATACGCGGGGGTAGTTGGCGCGTCCGAATCGAGAAAATCGCGGACGCAGCGCTGAACGCCAGCGTGTGGCGTCTCTCGCGAACTAAGCAAACCGAAGGGGGGGACAGAACGATTTCTTGGACTCCCGCGCTGTGCGTGTGCTAAACGGGGGAAGAAAAAAGGTGGAAAGGCGCTGATAACGCGCCGCGACGAAAAATCGCCGGCTACTCGAAGAGATATCGATTGAAATAACACGATTCCGGGGAACGCGAACCAATCGGCACCGCTGACACCGCGGAAGGGGCCAATCGTGCCCCGTTCTATCTCTCTTTCACAACCTCCCTCGCTCTCTCCCCTACTTCTTCTCGTCATACGCGTACACCTCTCCCCCTTTCTCTCCTTCTCCTCCTCTCTCTTCCTCCACTACTGCTCCTCGTCGTATGCTAC